GGGTCCTATACACATGGGTGTGGGAGGGTCTCATAGGATCATTACTCTTAAAAAAATAAATATGAATAATAAATTTGAAATAGGAAAATGTTTCACTTGTCCATTGGGGAAGTCTATGTTTATGTTTACAAAACATAACGATATTATTTTATGGGATTGCATATTGTAAGACCCTCAATGTTTGGAGCAAGGAGGTCCCAACTAATCCTAGCCATCAAATGTCGAATCGGACAGCTTGGTGTACATTACAAAGTTCGAGATTTTTTTTTTGGGGACTTTGAGCTTGATAAACGAGACATTATTAGCCCTCCAATTTCAATTCTAATGGACAAAAATGACTATGACGACCTTGTATAAAAAGGCAAATTATCTTACTGTATACATTTCTGTATCTTATTTTTCTTTTAAAAAATGAGATTTTGTTTGTGATATATATATTCTTGAAAATGAGATGTTTGTTTCTTCGTGATGCTCTATATTGTAATCCATGGGAATCAAATCTAACCCAATACTCCTTCCCAATTCTCTTTAAGAAGTAATCGGCAAGTTCCAGAACTAGTAGAAAAGCAAGTTGTGTAAGAATCCCTAAATTTATTTTAAAATTCACTACTTAGTTGACGCGATGTCGACTTTGCACGTGATTCCAAAAACTTGGATCAATAAAGGTGGATGTGAGATTCCATGTTGATTGAATCACAGTTTCGTGCACCTATGAAACATGGTATTTGATGTTGTGGAATCTGGATTCCAGAAAAAATTATTCAGGAATACATAAATGTGGAATCAAGATTCCTAACTCTATGAAAATAGTTTCTATGAAGATTCCTTGATGCAAAACCTGAATCAGAATTTCAAAGCCGAATTGCCATCTAAGGTGAGAGATTCTAGTAAGTATGATATCACCCTGACAAAGTCAGCCCATTATTGTTAAATCATAGGACTAAGCCCTTCTTTTGCAGATTGTTATGCCTTATTTGTTGTGTTTGGGAAGAGCGCAATATTTGTATATTCTGAAATCAAAGGGTTCAAGAGTTGGTCCTTAGGAAGATGATTAGGAATATGGTGGTTTCATTGTTGCTTCCTCTCCCTCTTCTTCTCTCTCTCTAAACACTTCTCCCTTCCTATAGCTCTACCCAATCTTGATATCACCCTGACAAAGTATGATATCAGGGTGAGAGATTCCGGTAAGTATGATATCACCCTGACAAAGTCAGCCCATTATTGTTAAATCATAGGACTAAGCCCTTCTTTCGCAGATTTTTATGCCTTATTTGTTGTGTTTGGGAAGAGAGCAATGTTTGTCTATTCTGAAATCAAAGGGTTCAAGAGTTGGTCCTTACGAAGATGATTAGGAATATGGTGGTTTCATTGTTACTTCCTCTCCCTCTTCTTCTCTTGCTCTAAACACTTCTCCCTTCCTATAGCTCTACCCAATCTTCTGCCCCCATATTTCTGCCGTCTTTCTTTCTCTGCTTTCTTCTCGCATCTCATTCTTCTTAGCTTCTGCTTTGCGCTCTCCCAATATTCCCCTCACTCACCACCCTGGCTTTTCTCAATTTTGTTTGCAGTCTAGCTCTTGCGAACTGCTTCTCTCGTCTCTTTTGCCTTTCTTTTTGTTTTCTGTTTGAACTTCTGATCCCCATTCTTTATTTGATCACCGGTTCATGTCGATCACCATATACGGGATTTGTATGCAAACTTTATATTAGTAGTAATAAAGTTAACCTTTTATCAAAAAAAAAGGTGGTTTTGCATGCTTTGATTCAACAAGAATTTTTGAGGTATTAGGGTCATTGACTTCTTGAAAGATTGGAAGCTTTTGGCCTCACCAGGTGCATCCTTGTTTCAACCCAGGACATTTTTGGTTTATATTATGTGGACTCTACTGTTTGGATGCCGTACTCCTGTTGGACATATATTGATACACATACTAATGCAGATTCCTCTAGATTCTTCTTCTTGTTTATCAACCATTGATTGCATCACTTAAGCGATTTGACCTTCCTTTGTTTCTAAGTAAATCCATATGTAGTTTGAAAATATCTATGGATTCAACATACCAATGTTTCTCTTGATATTAGGAAAACATAGTTGGATTTGGTCAATATAATCAAGACGAGACCAGATTGGTCAGTTCAGACTGGGAACTGGTATACCTACGTACCAACTGTTGGTTTAGGGTCCCTGAACTAGGGGAGCACTAAACCCATAAAAAACTTGCCTGAACCGGTCGGTTGAGACCTGTGGCCTGTTGGGACCTGTCAAATACATGTTAACTGGCCCGTTAAGACTAATTTTGACTAGATTTTGAAATATTATAATAATTTTTTTGTTGATATTTTCAGACCGGTATAGCGGTGAAATGGCTGGTCTGACCGGTTTCAACGGGACTAAGTATCCTCACTGGTTTGATGAGTTCGTGATAACATTAGATTTTGTTGACTTTTCATAATATAGCCATGTTGTTTAAGTTCTGGTTTTCAGTGTATGGGGAATCTGATGCCCTTACCCATGTCTGGCACTAATACATGTACCTGTCCCATGCAACATAGGTTTCGGTTGCTCTGGTGGGTGGCACTATTATGCTATATTTTGATGGATGTTAGTGTGGTGATTCAGGCCTGGCAGGTACAGGTGAGATTTATAAGGATGAAGAAACCAGCAAGCTTAAAGCGATTCGCTAACATTAGTGGAAGCTTGTGCGTAAGTTATAGGGATTTTCTTTTCCCTTTAAGGGTCAATTTGTAGTTAGGAGTGCGATTGTGTGAATGTCATAAGATGGACCATAAAGTGTTCTTTATTCCGTGGAGGTCCGCGCGATTTTAGTGAGATCTTTGACATTTGTGACGCAATGGATGTGACCTTTGTGCACATTCTTAGGGGAACTAACTAGGTGGTTGATACCCTTGCTAATCCAGGGGTTCTTCAAGAGTAGCTATTTTTGACATGGTCTCATTGTTGGTTTCCTTGGATGTTGCCTTAAAATCTCAATCTTATTTTTGAGTTTCTTTGCAGTATTAGTTAGGAATGAATTTTTTTTTTGATGTTTATTTAGGAATGAACTTTTTTGTTGATAATAAAAACGTTCAATTTCTTTTCATAAAAACCATACATATGTAGACGTAAAGCAAGCATCTTGGGAGCATAAGGTCTAGGTCATCTACAATGTGGTGCAGGACCAGGTTTAGTTATGAAACTGATGGTGGTAATGGTTGAGTCCTTATCATGGGATTTGATAATGCTTGTGAAGCTTTGAGAAAAATATTCTACATTCCAACATGCATGGGATTTAGATAGCAGACTTGTGAGTACAATTTATTTTGGCATATTCCAGGGCTCCTCTTCATTTGGTTTTGGTTTAAGATATTGTTAGCACTATTTTTTTGGGCTGCTATTGCCAATCTTTTTAACTTGCAGGACATTGGTCCTCTTTGATAGCATTTACATTTTTTTGTGTGATGAAGTTGCTTGATCCCCCATATAGATATATTATATCTCAGCATATTTATGAAAAAGAGGATGTTCTATCTGGCTCAATTGCTAATCATGTATTGTAGAGAGTAAATCTTTAGGTAGGAACTATAGTTCCCATGCCTGTGCTATCCAGGCTTCGGCAAGAAAGAGGCAAAGGACCAGCAGGAACATGCAATCGACTCTTTCGATGGGCGGGCCTCACCAATTATTTGGGAACCAGCTGGTTCCAACCTTTTCTTAGGTTAGTCATCTGTGAATTTTTCTTTTCTTTTTTGTCAGTCAATTCCTGGTGGGGTTAATTGTTTCTAAATCAAACTAATGGATGATAAGCTGGTTTTTGGATGCTAATCCATAGTTGTTGGAACAGTAGCAGAATTGGGATCAGGAGTGTAGAATTGTGAAAGGCTAGAAGATCCCATGGCTTGGGATCAATGGCAGGATAGGGAGCAGGATTGGGATTAGGAGTGTGGAATTGTGAAAGGCTAGAAGTTCCCATGGCTTGGGATCAGTAGCAAGATCGGGAGCAGGATTGGGATCAGCAGCATGGAATTGTGAAAGGCTAGAATATCCTATGGCTTGGGAGTGCCATTTGTACATTGTATATGTTGGGGATTGAGATCCTCAAATCTTGGGGATCTCAATCCCAACATTTTGGGGATCTCAATTGCAACCTTTTGGAGGTCTTGCTCTGAACCTTAAAAAGGACATACACTCTAGGATTTATATAAAAAGTATATATAGTTTAGGACTATATATAATTTTTAAAATTGGGATGTCTTTATCTATAGCTGGCTTGCAATGCAACTATATTAAAGATATAGTTGCACCGCTTGCTGGTTATAAATAAAGAAAATCATTGTTGGGATTCACTGGCAACTATGTACTAGTTTTGGTTGCCATCAGAGTATGAGATCCTTGTTTTATGAGGTAATAGTAGATGGAATTTGTTTGACCTTCTCCTACTAAACCAATAGTGTGTTGTTTCTTTTCTGTTTCAATTTTGATGATGCATTATTAACATCTTTTGATTATTAGCTTGCATTATTAACTGTTTTGAACGTTATCCAACGATTCTTCTTTTGTATCTTTGATGACAGTTATTAAACACTGCTTTAGTTTACTGGTCTAGCTTGGTTGGTTGATGATTTTCTCATTGTCTTACTTGGATTTTTTTTTTTGCATTGACTGTTTTCTATGCATGTGAACCCTGGCTACGTGTTCCTTGTTTAGTGCGCCTTGATGGCATGATCTCTCATTGTTTTCTTTGCTGAGGAAATTGTATGCAATAATTCCAAGAATGAAAAGTTGTATGCTCGTGAAGTATATTTCATATTTGTATCATGCTTTGCATATGAAATTGTTGTCATTGCATATGAAATTGTTGTCATTGGACATTCAAGAAATACAGTATTGGTCACATTTATGCTCTCATATTTCAGGAATCTCTTGTCCTGTTGGATATTTTTGTCTCTTACAATGTTTCAAATTGAATTCTCCAGCAACTTACTCATAATACATGCAATCAGGCCCTGATAGCACTTTAAGACATGGAGCTTGGGTGGATGATTGCTGGATTCTAGGGGTTATTGATGATCTGCATAACCTGTTCTTTATCAATTCAAATGCTGAGGTGATGACAAGGGTTACTGAAAATCAGCTTAAAATGCTGGCGCCAAGTGTTGGTCTTTTTCTGCAAGATACTTCCGATGATAAAGGCTCCTCTTTGTAAGTCTTTGTTATTGACTGAGCCATCAAAAATGCAGTTCGTTCATTGACTGCATTAAGGTTTTATGTGTTGCTTAAAAATTCTGAGACATTCAATGCCAGTTAAGGGAAATGATTCTTTATGCAGGTGCTCCTTCAACATTCTGACATCAGATGGTATCCTTCATCGTGTCGAGGTTGATCATGGGCGACATGCTTTTGTGGCCACTTTGTGTACGTCACATAGCCAACCTGCATTAAAGCAATGCCCATCAATTATATCATGCTTGGACTTCCATCCAGAACTTTCTTTGCTTGTCCTAGTTGGTCCAGCAGCAGCTTCTGGGAAGTTTAGAGGGACTGCAGGTAATTTTCACTTTTATATCATTAGTATTTGCATATCTTTGTTGCTTATCCTTGTTATACTTTTTGTCTGTGTGTGTGGGTGTGTCCTGAACAATGTGTTTCCAAAGATACATGGTTAGTGGTTTAGCTTTTATGGATTGTTTTAATTTATCCTTTTGTTTTAGGGTTACATTTCCTTTACATCTGCCAAGTGACGAGCAAAGGAGATCTGGAACCTGTCATATTCTCTACTCATTTTGAAGGTTTATTTTCTATGCCCAAGAGTCATGGAGGACCATTTATAAGTCCAAAAGTGGAAATTTCACCGCATGGACGACATATAGCTGTGCTAGATATGGGAGGAAGCTTGGGTGTTTTCAATGTGGACCACGAGCTACGTACGCTTTCCCCTATTACTTTCATGGAGCCATTGACACCTGAAGGACAAAATATGCATGATATTCTAGATTTTACCTGGTGGTCGGAACATGCTCTTATTATAGCAAAGAGGACTGGCATTGTCACAATACTTGATATCCCCCGTGGTGCAAAACTTCTCAATTGCGAACCAAGGTTTTCCATGCCTGTCTTTCAACAAGTTAGGGATTGTGTTGGGCATGCTTTTCTTCTTGACAGATATTTAGCATCTGACGAGATACAGCAGAAGATTTCATTTGAGACTGGAGAAAATAGAGCTGTTAAGGATATTGTTCAGGTTCTTGATGACAAGCATGTTGGTCTGGATGCAGCTGGATTAGGGTGGACACTGATATCATTATCAGAAAGATCAGTTTCAGAAATGTACAAAATACTGCTCAATAGGCAGCAGTATACAATGGCATTAAAATTTGCAGCTTGTCATGGGTTGGATAAAGATGACGTCCTTAAAGCACAATGGATGCAATCCGATCATGGTTCTGAAGCAATAAATGTGTTTCTATTAAAAATTGAGGATCAAAGTTTTTCCCTTTCAGAATGTATTCGTGTAATAGGACCAACCGAAGATGCTGTTAATGCTTTACTTTCTCATGGGCTTCATATTACAGAAGAGTATAAATTTGAAGAGTCTACAGATAATCAATGCAGGATGGTTTGGGATTTCAGGATGATTAGGCTTCAGTTATTGCAGTATCGAGACAGACTGGATACATTTTTGGGGATAAATATGGGCAGGTGAGTGACGTTTGTTTCTTGCTATCATTCTTTTTCGTTAGTAGTTTTGAGTGGGTTAAACTTTTTGTATACATGATAGTAGTTCTTTGAAGGACTTTTGACGTCACATTTTCTGTCTCTATGCAAACTATAACATTTGTGAATGTTGGTTAACAATTGCTTGTAAACAGTATTGTTGTTGAATGCAAAAGTTGCGACTTTGTGCTATTAGTGTTGCTTGAATAAATACCCATAAAAGTAGTGCTATTTACTTTTTAGCTTGTGCTGGTGCTGCTTATTTTAACGTGCGCTCAGGTTAGTTGTGTTTTGGTATTTAGTGTAGAGGTGGTAACACTAGTGCTTGAATTTTAATTAGGTTTTTCTAATCTTAGCATGTGCCTTTTGAATGGTTATTCGTATGAAAACTGGAACATTGATGAGTGTTGGTTAAGATTTGTCACTGATAATGCTGATTTGTGCTGCTATGTGCGGGTTGTGTCAATTTGATTTTTATTTTTATTCTTAGTTTTTGTACTCCAATTTGGATAAGGCGAAAATTTAAATTGCACAGTCGAACAAGCAACATCAAGCTTGCATTAAATACTGTAAATGAGTAGAATTGACCAAACGCTTACCTCGTTGTGGATTCGGACCGTCCTGTGTTGGTGTCCCAAACCCTCTTAGCCAACCTGATGTTTTGGATATTGGGAGGATCCCCGTATTCTCCTACGATGCCTCGCGAGAGCTGGGCTTTCGGAATGTGCCCCAACTTTCTCCCAAAAGGGGGGGTGAATTTTTCCCAATCCCCGAGTAGCCCCCAAGGTTTTTAGGTTGTTTCTCTTGGGGGCATGGAGGAGGGGTACCTAGTATCCTACACTCAAGGGCTTTGGAATGTGGGTACATTTTTCTTTATTTTGCTTGCCTAAGGGGTAATTTGGGTGCTTTTGCCTAACTAGGATTAGGGTTTGGGTGTAGAGACTTAACTAGTGTTGGGCTTAGGCTTAGGGTTTCTTTCACTCCAGGCTTTCTCTTCTAGAATTCCTGAGTGTCAAAACTCAACAAATGAATCTCCTAAAACATGAGGTGCTTATGGCCTTATGTAACAAAGGTCCCAAACATGGGTGGATTACTAACTTTCTAGGAATTGATGTTGGATTATCAATTTGCATTCCCATCCAAACTCGAACGAGCAAGGTTTGGGAGTCCTCCATTTCCATAACCCCCAAGATGCACGTTGTCAGAAAGCTTATGAAGTATAGAACAGCACGTCTGAACCCCATATCGAATCTCCACGGTGTTCTGAAAAAATTAGCCATATAAAATAACTAAAATCGCTGTTTTGGCAGAATTTTGGGCTTATTTTTTCTACAAAAATTAATTTTCAAATAGTATGCTACAGCCCCAATTCTTTAGTAAACGCGACCCAGTGACATTGGAATGTCATGAAACTTCGGAGTTGAGGTTTTCTAGTCACCTGATTTCATGTGCGAGGGTTTAAGCCCATTAGAGGCCAATTTCTAGGGGTTCCTTTGTATATTTGGTCTCTTTTCTATGCTCCACTGCCTGTATATCTGGTCCATAGATGGTCCATAGATTGTTTCTGCTATACCTTCCCTGTCCAGCATTGTTTTGAGCTGAAACTTGGGGGATATTTTTGGGGTATTGAGGACTATCTTGAGGCTCTATTTGGGGTCGGGTTGCATCCATTTTCATCACCTTTAATCATAGCCCTTTATTACACACTCCATGGTAGATTTGGGTCATAACTGACTCCAAAACCGACGGTTCTTATTCGGGAAGTCCTCTATCATACAAAACGTGGAACCCCAGAGTTTGGGCTGGAATTGCATCCGTTTGTGGGTGATTCCACCATTTTCTGTGTTTCTGGCAGATTTCTGGCATGTGTGTCACCAAATTCCTAATGGGGTTGACAACCCCACCCATTTGCGATCTGTGGGCCGTCCTTTTATTGGGAACCATCTCCGACCTTTGAAGGAGTTTTGGGATGAGATGATCCATGAATACCCGTCCTCCGGTTTCAAATGGTAATATAGCACGGGTATGTCATATGCTGTAAAATACATGCAAACAGTAAAAAACAGCATTGTTGTAGAATTTATTAGATTCACACTTTCTAGTGCGTTATAGTAACTTCTCGACATTAATATAGCTGATAGAAAGATATATACTTGAGTTAATTTTGTAGCATTATTTATGTCATCTTTGCCTTATTGTGTGTTGAATTTCAGTTTTTCAGATATATATATATATATATATATATAAGGAAAGTCTTCCCAACGGCTATAGGCAAAAATGAACAGTGATTTCGCCTACCCTCATCACCGTCCAAAGTTCATCGCACGATCACGATTTTTCGGTCGTATTTTATTTTTCATTTTTTTTCTACGAATCGGAATGATCTGAAATTTGGAGCGTGTGTACATCTTAGTGAGGCGCATCTAATAAAAAAAAAAAAATTCGCCAAAAACAATTTGACCAAAATACCACTGAAAATTTTCTAGGGTATTTTGGTCAATTTTTTTATGTAAAATATGTTTTTGATATTTTTCGTAGATTCGACTATTTTTTATGAACACACGCTCCAAATTTCAGGTCATTCCAATTTGTAGAAAAAAAATGAAAAATGAAACACTACCGGATAATCGTGATCGTGCGATAATCTTTGGACGGTGATGAGGGTAGTCGAAATCACTGTTCATTTTCGCCTATAGGCATTTTGTAGTATCTTTCTAAATGGAAAACTCTTCCCAACACCTATAGGCGAAAATGAATAGTGATTTCACCTACCCTCATCACCATCCAAACTTCATCGCATGGTCACAGTTGTCCGGCAGTGTTTCAAGTTTCATTTTTTTTGTACAAATCCAAATTACTTGAAATTTGGAGTGCATATACATCTTAGAGAGGCGCACCTAATAAAAATATAACTTTTTTTTTTGCAAAATATAAATTGACCAAAATCCCCCCAAAAATTTATGGGGGTATTTTGGTCAATTTATATTTTGCGAATTATTTTTTTCATATTTTATTAGGTGTTCCTCACTTAGATGTACACACGCTCCAAATTTCAGATAATTCCGATTAGTAAAAAAAAAAATGAAAATTAAAACACTATCGGACAACTGTGACCGTGTGATAAAGTTTGGATGGTGATGAGGGTAGGTGAAATCACTGTTCATTTTCGCCTATAGGCGTTTTGTAGTATCTTCCTATATATATATATATATATCTTATTGCATTTGCAAATAAGATACAGATTGTATGAAGATTTTATGGATTCATTATTGTAATTACGTGGCAAAATGTATTCTCTTTTGTGATAAGGGGTCTCCATGTTATCCTGGTCTCAAACTCTTCTTGGTTCTTTGAGACTTGTATAATTTTGTGCAGGTTTTCTCGTCAGGGGTATGGCAAATTTCGCTCACTACCTCTTCATGAAGTTGCTGTTTCTCTTGCAGAAACTGGAAAGATTGGTGCCCTGAACCTCTTTTTTAAGCGCCATGCTTATTCTCTGGCTCCTTTCATTTTGGATATCTTAGCTGTGATTCCTGAAACTGTTCCAGTTCAAACCTATGGTCAGCTCCTACCTGGAAGGTCTCCTCCAAGCAACATCTCTCTTAGGGACAAAGATTGGGTTGAGTGTGAAAGAATGGTAGCGTGTATCAAAAGCTATTGCCTGGAAAAGGATAATGAAAGTAATGTCCAATTTTTCACTGAGCATATTATAAAGCTCCGTGATGGGTTTGTTTGGCCATCAGTTTTGAAGCTTTCCGAGTGGTACAGAGATAGGGCCTTACACATGGATTTAGTGAGTGGGCAGTTAGAAAATAGCCTTACTCTGGTGGAATTTGCTTGTCACAAGGGTATTGTGGAGTTGAAAGAGCTCCACAAAGATATCTCTTGTCTGTGTGAGGTCGTCTTTTCAGATGTTTATTCAGAAGAAAAAAATCGTGATATGAGCCTTATTGCTTGGCGACAATTATCTGACTATGAAAAATTCAGGATGATGATCATGGGAGTTCGAGAGGGTACTTTAGTTACACGATTACGGGAAAAAGCTATCCCATTCATGCATAACAGGTCTCGGATGAAAGTTGAAGTCTTTGAAGATGAAATGAGAGACAGTGGATCATCTTCCGTGGATTGTAACCATTCTGAGTCATTCATGGTTTTATGGTTGAAGGAGATGGCATTAGAGAATCAATTAGAAGTTTGCTTGAAAGTTATTGAAGAAGGATGTAAGGATTTCCATGTAAATGGGATTTTTACAGATGAAACAGAAGCTGTAGATGTAAGTCTATATTGCATATATTCATGCACCCTTACAGATTGCTGGAATACAATGGCATCTATCTTATCGAAACTCCCTCACACATCTATACGAGGTAAATCATCCTTTTCTGACAAGGATTTCAGTCCAAGGCATGGGATCAGAAGTTTTGGAAGAGTTTTCAGAAAGTCTGATAGAAGTAGCCAACCTTTGAGCCCAAACACTTCCAAAAATCTGAAAGGGGAAGGTTATGTAAGTTCTACCATTGGAAATGATGGAGAACAATTTGAAAGAAGTGTAGATACATCAGTGGAAAACCTAGAGAAAAGAATTAAAGTTGCTGAAGGCCATGTAGAAGCTGGCAGGCTTCTGGCTTATTACCAGGTTTTTTTTATGTCTCACCTGTTTTATAATGAATCCTTGAACATTTATTTTTATTGCTCTCTAGGTGTTTTCTTTCTTAGTTCTCAATTCATGGTAGTTGTTATGAATTTAGTCTTGTTTTTTATTTTGTGACATTTAGCTGTGCAAGATGCATTAATCATGTTTGTTAGTGCCAGATCTTCCTTACTACATAAAGCAGCTGCTAACTAATGTGATATTTTCTGAGAATATTAACTGCTTTGAATCTACTCTACAGTTTTATTTCAAGTTCATTTTGTGGTTGGATCCTGCAAATTGTCTTTTTGATTGTTAACTTTTATCATACTAAGTATCATAATGTATAATGAGATTTGCAGGTATAGTTCTTGCATTGGGATGAGCCCATACCGAACCCTAAACCCTAAACCCTAAACCCTGAACCCTAAACCCTAAACCCCAACTGCTATTCCTCAATCCCCAACCTAATTGGAAAAGGAAAACAAAATATCATTTTGAGAAAAGACAAAATCAGGTAGGCACAAATCATATGACTAATAGCATTGATCTTGAGGAACCTTCCCTTGCTAGTGAGTCTGCCAATTCCTTGATATGTGCTTGAAAGCCACTGCACAGTTCACACTTAATTCCAATATCAATTAATTTGATCAAATTGTTAGGGGTTGGAATCCATTTGGATGGTTGCTTTGATCATTCTCCTTGCTGCTAAACAATAGCTTGCTGATGGCTGCTAAAATCCATCACACACACACACACACACACTCACACACATATATTAGTGTTTTAAAATGCGGGATGCGGGTGCATCGCGACGATGAGGTCAATAAATGTAAAAATATTCTACAAAATCTAATATATTAGTGTTTTAAAATGCGGGATGCGGCCTGGATGCGGGTGCATCGTGACGATGCGGTCAATAAATGTAAAATAATTCTAAAAAATCTAAAAAAATAAGTTAATGCATTGAAAAAAATATGGAGGTGATATATGTGATAGTAGGTATTTTAGTTTAATGATTAACTCCAAACTTATTAGCTGTCGAAGATTCTGTATCCACTATCTCCAATTTTAGTGCTCAAATTCTTCACGGCCTCTAAAACCCTCTATTTCTTGTCACAAAGTCACCTAAACTTCCCCAAATCAACAATCGAAAGGTTCTAATCAATATCCAAGTATCAAACAATCCCCAAATCCAAGATCTGAATGAAAAAATTTTCTGCCTAAATTTTTTTTTTGCTCGATTTGATTCCAAAAAGCCCACGAAAGTGGCCGTAAATGATTGTTTAGGGATTTTAATACCCTCCCAAACTGTTTCCCCCAGCGTTTTAAAAAAGCCGAGTCGAACCGGACTCGCCCGGTTCGACTCGGAAATCGTGAAAGGGGACCGGATCGCCTAAAAAATCGGAAATCGTCCGGTTCTAGAGAGAACCGGACGATTTTGTACAGTGAATCGCCGATTCACTGTACGGAATCGGCGAGTCCGAACAGTGAATCGGCAAGTTCGTACGGAATTTTTTTTTTTTTTTTTTGGTAATCCATGATAGATTTTTTTGTAATACTTGATCGATTTTTTTGTAATCCATGATCGAATTGTTTTTGTTTTTTGTAATCCATGATCAAATTTTTTGGTTTTTTGTAACCTATAATAGTATTTTTTGTAATCCATGATCGAAATGTTTGTTTTCTTTTCTTGTAATCCATGATCGATTTTTTGGTTTTTTTTTTTTGTAACCCATGATAGAATTTTTTGTAATCCGTGATCCAATGTTTTGTAATACATGATCGAAATGTTTGTTTTTTTTTGTAATCCATGATCGAAATGTTTGTTTTTTTTTTTGTAATCCATGATTGAATTTTTTGTTTTTTGCTTTTTTTGTAACCCATGATAGAGTTTTTTGTAA